TCAGATACTATATTGAAAGAAAACTCATCCTTCATACAACACACATCGAGAATTATTACCAACAAATATTTACGAAAAGTTAGTAAAAAATATCTATAATACAGCCATAGGATAGATATACGCATATTATAACAGTGGAAAAAGTATAGAAACATTTAGTTTAGTGTACTAAGGTAAAGTAATTAATAACCCAAATAGGTGAAAGAACCGAAAATTGAGTTTTTCTATACATGGGTTAATGTGAAACAGCTTCGCTCATGACCAATTTTATATATAAAAGTTAGTTTTTGTAGGGAGAAAGGAAAAAGTTAAGGATTTATTTCAGAATTATCTTTTTCATATACATATATCGTTTGCGTTGAACGAACAAAACCTGTTACAAAAACATTTTCTACGATGCTATCACGTTTTTTCTCGACATACTCGTAGCTCGAGGATATTTGTGTAAGAGGAGGAAAAAATTACTTTACACTCTTGAAATTGTTTTAGAAACTATTATTATATGCAAAAAATGAAGCGTAGTAACTTATATAATTTTGATTTAACTTTTTTTCTACCTACTATACCTATGCCTTTATTTATAACGGACTTAAAAAAGAGGAGGCGCTAAATTCGTCTTATTTTTAGTTTTTATTCGATATCTTCATCCCCATGGATATTCATAAATCGATAAATTATGAATATAGGTATAGAGGTATGTACCTATCGTGTAAATTTGAAAATAATTTTTTGGAAAATGAAATATTTAATTACTTCTTTAATGTTACAGCTTGAGTTATAAGTTTATTTTACAAAAGTAAACTAATCAAAAAAATATTCAATTTTAGGCCCAGTAATACCCTCGAAGAGTTGACACGGCAAAATAAAAACTCAAAATTATTTTTGCTTATAAACTGATAGGTATTTTTATATTTCATGTTTATTATAAAATATAAATGTATAGGTAATAATTATAGCCACAATAATAAAATATTTAATCTTATTAATTAGGAATTAGATTTAATTTTATAAGAACGTTGTTGAATTAGTACCTTATTATACCTTCACAAAAATGTAATATTAAACTTGGCTATACATAGGATCTCAACTTTTACGATCCTCTTATTAGCATAAATTTCTCTAACTACAATAATTGCCATCCAGATCTTTGTAGATATCTTCATCCCCATGGATATTCATAAATCGATAAATTATGAATATGGGTATAGAGGTATAGAGGTAGAGGTATAGGTTTTTCTACAATAGACAAAAGCCACCAATCATCGCGCCATGTCCTTATTTAAGTAAAAACGAGAGCAAGGATAGTTTTTATGATTCTTTTTAAACTTATTAGCTTATTAGCTAAGTAAATATTCTATACCACGCGAGGGGAAAGCTAGCTAAGCTTATACTAGAAGCGAAGTCTTGGCAAATTAATTTCACGTAAATGCATTTGGCTGAATGCATGGTTGCTTTGTTGGAATCGGTTCAGGAATCTTTATGTGAAAAGCCAAATTTCAGGAACTTGTTCATTAATTTATTTTGACTTACTTCATAAAATCTAAATGAACATTATTGCTTTCCCTTTAATTAAACATATTTATATAACTAATAATAAATGTTGAAAGGTAAAGTCTATAACTAAAGCCACTTAGTAGCCACAATAATCTAAACTACTATTATAAAGAGGTAAAGTGTGTGAGTTTGTGACATTGTAGAGGGTTATCTTTGGATATGATGATAACTTACCAAATTTCATCTAAATTGGTTTAGTAGATCCAGAGATTAACCCCCTACAACCTCACAAACTCACAAACTTTACCTCTTTATAATATTAGTATAGATAAAAATACTCAAAATTTCTCCTCATTTAATGTATGTATTAAAATCAAATCAGTTTAAATGATTTTATTAAAATGTTAGTTGTGTATGTAACATGGATACATATGCATTTAAGAAGCTATACGAAGAGAAGGATTGATCTACATTATTATATTCAGTTCGCTTGCCAATATATTTGCTTTTGATATCAAAGCACTAAGCCTGCCTAATGCTGTCTTTGTCAGAATAATACCGTGTCAGTATCGTGTAGCTTTTAGGTAGATCGTTGCACGTTCGTCCATTCAGGGTGTTTTGCATTGCATTGCCCCCGGATTAACCTATACCCAACGGGCATTTGTAGGGCGAAGTTTTTAAGTTTAAATAATAGCGAGGATAAAATCTAAGATTTTATAAGTTTTATAACCATGAATAAAACTTGCTTTAGTACAACCACAAATAATATTTTCTTAACTGTATTTTTACCATTTTTTATTTATATTTTTATGAATATTTAACAAGCAGATGCCCATTGATAGTGCATTCGTGGCGCATTCACTTAGAAAGCCAAGTTAAGCGGATCTAAGCGGCACCTCTGATATTTTCATACATGAATATTTTTTAAATAGGACTGCTGCTTCCTAATGTAGTAAAAACTAAAAACAAGTTTACTGTATTTCTGACAGAATCTTATTAGTTTTGAATATGGCCTGCATGTCTGGTAGAAGTTCCGTCAAAATGTCTAATATTAGTTTTCGAAAAACGTGTGAAATCCGACCACGTGCTTTTGATAAGCATGGTGGACTATGACCTCGTTTTAAGGGAAAACCTTACCCAACAGTGAGATCTTAAATAGGCTTCATTATTATTTATTACTAACAATATATTACTAGCCGCCAATTTATAAGCTCCATAAATATTTTAGACAGTTGATTTAGGTTTCAAAATATATTTACAATTTCCTCCAAAATGATTGTATTCTGATGGGTTCTCGAGATAGGACACGTTATAAATAGCTTAATTTTTTAACCAACTAACCAGAGGAGGTTCTCATATTAACGCGGCTCACAATTCTCATATCGTTTTTATGTAGGACCAGTAACCATGCATTTATAAAATATTCCCATGTTGATGGTTCTTTTTTCTATTGTTTTTAGTTGTGGCCAAATTAACAAAGACGCAAAGTAATTACGCTTTGTACGCTTTGTTGAAATATCTACCTACTTAGGTATTATTTACTAGACGCCGACTGAAAATTAGTTATTTATAAGTATTAATTTAACAACGTAGTTATTACTATTATGTAAATGTACCTGTCGCTTTTCAATTTAAATGAAATATCTTAAAGTTGTAGAAAATTTAAACAAAGTAAAAATAAATCTTGAACAAATAAAATCAAATCAAATATTCCGAGAGATGTTTAAACATTTTGTTACACATTTATTTTATTAAAAAAATCTTCTATTTAGTATTCATAGTGCAAGGCAGCGGTTGGATTTATAAGTTATTGATGTAGCTAGATTTTTTAAAATTGATTGAATTTAGGTATGTTTAGTTAATCAATTTAAATATATAATAAAAATGGTTGGAATATTTAATAGTAACTGGCTCAGTGGCTAGGCTAGGCATTAGGCAAGTATTAAAAAAAAAGTAATTTATAATAAAGCTGACTACGTTAAAAGAGAACTAACAAATTGGAAACAAGGTGACGAAGGAACAAAATTATGCCACCCCCCGGATATCATCTGTCTATATACCTACAGATTATGTGATAACCCACCCGCTAGAAAATCCGTGCGTGATTAAATTACTTTCATTTATAATAGATTGCCTTTATTTCTACTACGTATAGAGTAGAGTGAAGGTAAGTATCTGTCAATAGATTCACCCATTTTCCCTTGTGGAGTAGATACCTATCTCTGTTCAACGCGTACTACTTAGGTATACCTATCAAGATTTGCGTGTTGAGTGGCTGTTCGGAGTTGCGAGAATTGAAATCGCTATCTAACTTGTAGGCAGTGTCTGTTATACAACTGTCTGTCGTCTAGTTGTGGAGATGGCCTACATTCTTGTTTTTCGAATAAATTAGTAAAACCAAGTAGATACGTTTAGATTTTCGCATTCGCATCGATTTTTTTAAATACTTAAACATTTTAAATTTCAAGCAATAGGTATAAGTATTCATAAGTGTATAATCTGTATACTATCTAATGCAATAGAGTAAGATCCCGGTGCCCCCAGACGTTACTTATTTTCTCATAAGAAATATAAATGGGATAAAGTAGTGTTAGTATGTACTTTGAGTGTGTGCATACCTGCTACCTTGGGTCGACGGCCAATTCATAGGTACCAGGTGCTAAAGGTAAATAAATACAGTACTGATTTTTTCTTAAATTCTCAGTGCTGATTTTTACATATGTTTTAGATATTGTTGTTAAAAATTAATAATCATTATTGCCAGACACTTTCCATCGGCGCTTACTCTTACCAGACGCTTTAAAGCTTCAAAAAAAAAAAAAACATATTCTTACTTATAATCTCACTCTTGATTTTTATGTATGATACTTGGGGAACTATTTGAACACCCCTGGTCAGCAGCCAGACCAATTGGAGGGGTCAAACATCCCCCCAGACACACATAAAGTGTCGCTATGTGTATAAGCGCGAGGTCATTATTTGTACGCTTGAGTGTGAGAGAGATATCTATTTATGGATATCTTTCTTAACTTTATTGCCGTCTCTAGGCTACTCTATTCAGTGCTACTTGATTCAGTGCATCTGTCATTTTATTTACAACGTGTTGAAATAAAAAAATATATTTATAGTATTCTAAAAAATATAATGGCAGAATTATTAAAGTGTGTGTTTTGTGAGAATTCCGATGTGAATTTAATATTGTTTACGGAAGAAGAACTCGGCGATGTAGACTTATTCAGTGACTTTAGAACTGGAGCAAAATGTGTTCAACACTATGCAAAAATTTATTTGTGAACTGTACAACGTGGCCGGAATAATTGACGTTAGATGCTGCCCGACTCCAACTCTTCATCAACACTTATATGGTTTGTGACGTTAAATGAAGAGTTCAATCGTAAAAATGTGAAAAACTTTGATGCTAGTAACTTACCACACCATGCAAAAGTGAGCTTTCACAGCAGTTTCGACGAGCTAATTATATCACTAGTCTCTGGAAGAATGCTCATATGAAGAAAATTAGTATTTGTAGTCCTGACAATAATGGGTGGACGTTGAAAGATAATAAATATCATTTTAACTGGTTCGATGGGGACCAATTGCCGAGCTTTGTCATTGAATCGCTTCAAGAAGAATCAGGTATTATACTTTAAATTTGAATAATTGATATAACCGTATAACTCTTTGATTCTTAATTATGTTATTTTTGTTACAGAAAATGAAAGTAATATGGATGATAATGAAGATAGTCAATGCCAACATTGGGTTGATAATGACTTATCAAACTTAGACGATGATGACAGTAAAGATCACGCTGAATGTTCAAACTACAAATAATCCGAAAGAAGAAAGACATGTATAGCTTTGTATAATTTTAAGATTTAATATCACGCTGAATGTTCAAACTACAAATAATCCGAAAGAAGAAAGACATGTATAGCTTTGTATAATTTTAAGATTTAATAAACATGAATTTTTTAAATAGTAGTATTCAATTTAACTCGATGATAAGATGTAAAATATAGGTTAAAGAAACTTATATTTATTATTTATAAAATTTTCTCCACCCAGATCACTTTAAAATACCTTGTAATCTTCAGGTTCGATTCCATTTTGTATGTAACGAATCTTTAATCTCTCTTGATTATATCGAACAGAGCAGAATTTTAGCGACACTTTATGTGTGTCTGGGGGGATGTTTGACCCTCCAATCGGTCTCTGGCTGCTGACCAGGGGTATTCAAATAGTTTCCCCAAGTATCATACATAAAAATCAAGAGTGAGATTATAAGTAAGAATATGTATTTTTTTTGAAGCTTTAAAGCGTGGTCTGGTAAGGGTAAGCGCCGATGGAAAGTGTCTGGCAATAATGATTATTAATTTTTAACAACAATATCTAAAACATATGTAAAAATCAGCACTGAGAATTTAAGAAAAATCAGTACTGTATTTATCTACCTTTAGCACCTGGTACCTATGAATTGGCCGTCGACCCAAGGTAGCAGGTATGCACACACACAAAGTACGTACTAACACTACTTTATCCCATTTATATTTCTTATGAGAAAATAAGTAACGTCTGGGGGCACCGGGATCTTGGACTACAAGTTTTTATTAAAAAAACTAGCGGCTTACTATAGAGGGCAAACATATAATGAAAAAATCTTTTTTTTGGGCCAGGAACCTTTGACCTTTGACCATTACAACAATGCGTTAATTTCATCACAGTGTGATGAATGGTTTGACAACGTTTAGAGTAGGTACTAACATACAATGATTTTTTTATTTTATTTATTATTACAAATTATATAAAATTAATCAGAAAACTTGAAATTATTAATTTTGTTTTTACTTAAAAACGTCTCGGCAGACAACAAGGAAAATATGATAGAGTGCAATTAATTTTAATTAGTTAATCTAAAGTTTTAGCTTTTAATTAACGAGACGTTCTTATATATAGCATAATTAAGGTAATTTAAGAAAGAAAATATTAATTCTATTTTTAATAAAATCCTTGCATTAATTAAGTGCTACTTGAATTTCTGATCTTACTAATATGTATTAAAAATATGAAAGTTTGTGAGTACTACATAATATTATATATTTCCTTCAAAGAACAGCAGCAGATCTCGAGTGAAGTTTGAATGAAGATAATTTGTATCCTGGATGGACACAACAAACACACCTACTTTTCATTGATGTACTACGCGAGTTGAGCCTTATATGAAATATATTTATATTATTTGTAAAACATATTTTAATTACTTTGAAACCTAATCACAATTATTAAGAATATTTATAAATATATATTTAACTAATTGATATCCTTTTTAAACTACACTAATATTATAAAGAGGTAAAGTTTGTGAGATTGTGAGTTTGTGACGGTGTAGGGGGTAATCTCTGGATCTACTGAACCAATTTAGATGAAATTTGGTGATAAGATAATTTGAGACCCTGGGAAGGACATAGAATACTTTTTATCCCGGAAATCACCTCTTAAGGGGGTGAAAATGGGGATGGAAGTTTATATGGGGAATCAAGCTAGGGACGAACCCGAGCGAAGCGAGGGTGATTCGCTAGTATTTTTAATAAATTCAAATCTTTTTTTTTACCAACTGATCAATTTATAATAGTAAATAGTAATTTCTGTATCGCAACAAAAATATGTGACAGATTTTGATTAAATATAGAAAAAAAGGACCGATTAAATAATAAATTAATGTAAGTATTTTGATGGTTTATTCAACGTTCGTAACGTCGCTCATAATACACCGTAAAATAACAACAGAAAGTAAATTACGGTAAGAAATGATGTTTATCCTCATATCCTATGACAGATCATGTTCATTGTCCTTTGTTCATGTTATATAACGCAATACAGTCATAGTAAGCCATGTTATGGTATATGAGGAATACAGTTAATTAATTTATACAATAACTCTATCTTCATTTACTGTTTTTGTTATTTTTGTACTACTTGCTAAATATACTTACTGCTAATAGTATTTTAAGCCTTTTAAGTAGGCACATACTCTCCCTGTGGTATATGATCTATACTTACAGGTATCTTAACATCTTCAACTTTTTTCAATGAGCATAATTACAATTAACTTTAGTCCATATTTAAATACATACAGAGTAAATATTTTAACAAATTAACTGTCCGCAAAATAGACACAATAGTTAAACAATCGAAATGTTCATATTATATGACTCATGGGACAGGGAAACTGTTAAGTAAGGTAGTGGTATTTCTAGAAATCCTTAATCAACCCTCTCTCTCTCTTTCACTCTCTCTCTTACTCTCTCTCTCTCTCTCTCTCTCTCTCACTCACTCACCCACTCTCTCTTACTCTCTCTCCCTCTTACTCTCTCTCCCTCTCTCTCTCTCTCTCTGTGTGTATTAACGTAGAGCCGCTATTACGTAAGGGCTGTGGCCAATGCCGCTCCTGACAACTGTTGAAATTGTACGTTGTCAGACTCTACGGTTGGTTAATAAACATAATTTTAAATTAAAATATTTTCTAATAAAAATCGAAAAATAATCATAAATTGCATAAGATACTTACTAGTTTTTTGAAATAATAATAATTAATTATTAACAAATATTATTCAAAGTAACTTTTAGTCACTACTTAAATAAAAATGTATTTCTAAGCCATGTTTGCTAGAATAAGGTTCATATCTAAATGCTTACCCTACTACATCTACTATATGTATGTTACACCATAAATAACTCAATATCTATGAAGATATTCTAGCGTGTTATATAAAGGAAACGCTTTGTTGACAGCAATTTATTTACTTACTCTAATCACGGCTCTATAAAAATAGAAATGCGGAAAGCGCCCATTCGTTTTATCACTTATCAGACAGTGATTTACATTTTTACCTGAAATAGATTGAGAAAAATTGGTGTCACTTTTACTAGTACTTTGTATTTATTCACGCAGTTTGACATCCCACGGAAACTAATTAATATGCCGGAATAAAATATAAGCCATGTCACTTTCACAAAATCGTGTCCAACCGTTGCTACGTTACGTAAATGAAAGACAAACCAAAAAAAAACAACAAACATAAACTCGCATTTTGGTACATTAGTAGGATAGTTTCTAATGTCATCAATAAGTAGTGCTGTACCGTGGACTTTTTTGTATCTCGACGATGAATCCGCCAATATAGGCACTCTAACAGGTCTCTTTTCCTAGACGAATATTTCACAACATCAAAATGTAAAAAGTTTGCAAAGCCACACACCCTGTAAGGATCATCGTTAAAAGTTATGTGTTGAGCAAGCAGTCTTTCATTTTATTGCGATTAAATAACATACTTTAAAAAAATATATATAGTTAAATATAACTCTTCAATTAACAAGTCAAGAAATCACAACTCATCTCGTTATAAGTTTATGTAACAGCCAAGATGCAATGATATCTTATCTAAGATCATTCTTTGTGAACTTTAAAAGGTAATTTCAGTAATTACCTACTAAAAAAAATGTATCATCGGGTATTAAGGATATATGTTGTATTTTATAACTTTTAAATATATATACATACATATCTATAAAATTAACAAGAAAAAAATATTATATAACGTTTATTTTTGGCATTTTCTACATTTTAACGTCTACACTTAGTCAGCTAAGCTCATTAAGAGCGGGTCTTTATATTTGTGTTGAAAATTTGGTAAAGTTTACCAGTAAAAATATTTACGCCAAAGGTCCATAATGGCGACTGGCAAAAAGTTAGAAAAATACGCAAGTGGACCATTTTTATATTTTATTATTTATTTTTCATTGTTTCAAATGTTTGGTTGCAGGTTGTATTCTCGGAGTTTCTACGTTATTGTAAGGAAACAAAAAGAAGGGTTTCATTGACCTTGTAAGATTTGATTAAATTAACTACAAAAAGTCAATGACGTCTTATCTTATCACCTATACCTAATATCTATACTAATATTATAAAAAGGTAAAGTTTATGAGTTTCTGACGTTGTAGGGTGAATCTCTGGATCTACTGAACCGATTTAGATGAAATTTGGTAAGAAGATAGTTTGAGACCCTGGGAAGGACATAGAATACTCTTATCCTGGAAATAATCCCTTAAGGGCGTGAAATAGGGATGAAAGCTTGTATGGGGAATCAAGCTAGGGACGAACCCGAGCGAAGCGAGTGTGAGTCGCTAGTGTTAAAATAAAATTATAGACACACCAATAAACAGATTGACGAATTTGCCGGTGTTATGCTACACTAATTCAACGCTTAGTTGGATACCTGGAGCGGAGAGTAATAAATATTTAAAAAAAAGAAAGTACCATCTTCACACTTTCCTTTTTAGCTCTTTTAAGTATTTTACCTATATTTAATCGTATAATAAACTAACAAAAGCGATAAACTTCGTATAGCGGATAAAATTATTATTCGACAAAAAGATTTTTTTAAACGATCTCATTTTTAATAAAGCTATAAAAAGCAATAAACAATACACAAAAAAATTGTACGAAATTTAAGCTTTGTTCTAAAATAAACGAGAAAAAGAAGATTATAAAATATATGGCTTCTGCTAGTGCCTATTTGATTTCATTGATACGCTCAAACAGGCTTCATTTTTTTTTATTTTTACATTATATTTAGCAGGGCACAAGTCACAACCATCCAATAATAATCTATATAAGTAGTATCGTTAATGTGAAAGTTTATGAATATATTTGAACGATTGATACGTTAATAATGATGAAACTTAGCACACATACGTATAGTCTACGAAAAACTTATTATAAAAAAATACTGGGCCAACCAGTACAACATTTTCTATTATAATTTAGTCAT